AGAGGAAAGAGAAATAAATAAAGCCTACATTGAGCTAGATATGCTAAAAATACTCGATGCCCAGATATGGCAGACTCGAGAGGCTAATCCTGCACTCTTTCCGCTCCTTCTCTCCCATTTCTCTCTCTATCCTTTTTTTCCATCTCTCTTCTTCAGCTAATCAAAGCTCCCTCACTCATTCACTCAAGTGCCACCAAAAGTAAAAGTGGTGGTGTTGCCCTTCCTCATGAGGGTTCAGCAAACTGCAGCAACTGTAGTAAAGGACTACTATTACTACTACAACTTCTACAACTACAACTATTACTGCTGCATCACTGCCGCCATCAACAAACTAAGCTGCCAGTTTATTGTAACTGACTGTGTGTGTGTTTGTGTCTTGATCAACGAAGAAGAAAGGACGGTAAAAGAGTGTTTTACCAGCAAAAACAATTCCAGCAACGCAGTCGGTGGCAAATCATCAAATCAATTATTAATAATTGCCAGCAGCAAATGCAGAAAAACGAGGAAAAACGGAAAAACGGCCAGAGAGTGGAAAAGCAAGGCAGCAAAGGTGCCTGCAATGATGAGCAAATTATTTTCAATCAGCGCACTGGTCGGAGGCAATTATTGCTGCACCAGGCGGCAGCATCCTTAATGAGAGCAATGAAGCGAGTGAGAATGAGAGAGAGAACAGGAGCAGAACAAAACAGTAATAAGCCACTACTCAACAGCAGCAGCAGCAGCGGAACCAGTGCCTGGTAATTGAATACGATTGACAATGGAATGGAACGAAATGAAATGTAATAGAATGGAGGCAACAACAACAGAAACAGCGGCAGCAGCAGTTGTGCCTGCAGCACCGAGACAAAGAGCACGTTGCGGCACTTGTCGCTCTTTAGGCACCCAAATGCCACTGTCGATGGCCAACTGCCTGCCTGTCTCTGTCTGCGGAATGAAAGGACCCACTTGGCGGCAAACCCTTTACTGTGTTCTTCCCCTCCTTTGTGGCCACATTTTGTTTGTCTCGTGCCTGTCACTGAGTGACGCTGCGTGAAACCTGCACACCTAGGCGAATCTCTCTATCTCTCTCTCTCTCTCCTTTTCTCCATATCTCTAACATCCCTGGAATTTCACCAGCAGACATTCTAATGATTTTTGTTGTCAAATGTTGCTTTGTGTACCCTGTGAGTCTGTGTTTGTCATCTCGTGATGTTTTCCCCTCCCATTTCCTTCCGTTTTTACTGACTCAGTGTCGTCAATCGATTTGCGGAATTCTCAATGAGCTGAGCATCAGCATAAGCAGCAGCAGCAGTGCCAAGTGGTGACCATTCTATTTCAGAGTCCTCTTTGTTTTGTCATACTCTGAAAACACAAAAAGGCACACAACCCTTTAGAGAAAATCCCAGTGTATTGCAATTTTGCCGATTCAGCAGCCACAACAGCATTCGCAGTCGTCTAGAGAATAGTCGAACGGCAAAATCTAATATAAAAACCTGAAGCTGAAAACAAAATCACAGTTTAACGCACAGGCACACACAAGCACAAATAAGCTCAGTACAGCAGCTGACAAAAGCTAAACTGATCGAAAAAGCGAGAAACGTGAAGAAAATGCAACAAAATTACATGATGACGATGGCACTGTGAAAGAGACGCCAAAGGCGGAAAAACACATTACATTCATAGGGTTCACAGTACAAATGTCATCTGCGGGGGACATCAATGGAATTATTCAGTCAGAAAGGAAGGAGAATAGGGGTGAAACATTAAAGACAAAAACTGAACATCCAAAACAATGCCATCCATACACGCACCGATGGAATGAAAGAATGAATTGGAATTTGACATTTACAGGACAAACAAAAGCACACTACACTTTTTTTAAGTATCGCCAATAAAAAAGAGGTACAAGCTAACAGGCAACAGTGTCTGAAGCGGCAGCGGCAGCGGCAGCAGCAGTTATTCAGGTAGCTCACCAAAGGGTTAGGCTGCCTTAAAGGTAATTTGGAAACGTGAGTAAAGAGGGCTCATTTGGAAGCCACCAGAATTATGCCAATTAGGAAGTAGAAAGGTGAGAAAGGCAGTAAAAAGAGGAAACACTGTCTGATTGACTAGGCGAGGCACGGCTTAGGAGGACTTAGAAAAAACTTGGAACAGAAGGCCTCTAGTGAATGCGAGACAATGCCAGACTGTGCGTACTTGTTTTTATCCTCTGCACACTACCGTTCTGCGCAACGCCCAAAAACTGATCGATGAAGTTGAATGAGGTGTTTCTAATTAGAAGTGAAATCTCCCAGTTCGCCTTTGCACCTGAAGAAAAATTGCTGCAAAGGTAAACGAGAGGTCCTCCTGTCTCTCATCAGTGCTCCTGCACTGTGTACCTGACAGTTGTAAAAGTAAAAGTGAATAAAAGAGAAAGGTGGTAATTTTTAGATTGAGCGTGGGTAATAAGCAAGGCTGTTTTTATAAATGTGTGCATGTGTTTGTTTTGCGGGCACTATTATATTTATAGACTACTATTTGGCGTCGGATGGTTTAAAAATACTAGTAATGAGCAAAAAGGAATGAAAAACAAACTAGGTCCCTAGAATACTACTACTGTTGGGCCTTACTTACCGCCTCAACTGAAAAGCTCCGGCTGCTCCGGCTGCTGAATGATTAGTATTCTGAGCAGTGTTCTCCGCAGTGGCTGTTTTTGCTTCAATTTTTTCTAATTAATCTTCTAACAACTTCTAAGAAATGAGTTTTTTGAGTTTGATCGAAGAGACGAAGGTAAGTAAATGCTAGACTAGCAAACCGGTGTGAAGGGGTGAGTGTGCGGCTGACAATTTCTGCAATCTACGGTGCAAGAGAGGTTGTGGTAGAAAAGAGAGAGAGAGAGTGAGAAACGGAAACCGCTGTTGAGTGGTCCCTTCAGTGAATTCAGCAGCAACAGAATGAATTGAAGCGAATGGCTGTAAAAAGTGCAACTGCGACCAGCGCACGCTGAAGCATCAAGTGACGATGTGCTGTGTCTTCAGCTGTGATAGCGGAAGTGATTGTGGCGAAGGTGGTGGTGGCTGCGATGCTCACTGACCATAAACATGGTAGCGTCTTTGGCGGAAGGACGAAACAAAAGTTAATAAGTAGCAGATGTTTCAAATGTCAACAATTGCTTCAATTCAGTGTCTCAGCTTGAACTCAGCAGATCCAGATCATTAGTGGAAAAAACTGATTGTCGGTAGTGAGAAGGAGCAGACGAGGAAGAGGTGGATGGAAAAACAAACCCTTCTTCTGGTTCCCTCATTGATGGCTGCTGAAGTGTTGGTGAGGCGTGTGAGCGAATTCAGTAGATAAAGAGTTTTGGTGAAAAACTTCGGGTTGACAAGTGTGCATCGGCATTGGCCAGAAGAATTGTTTGATGCAATTGTCTGCAATTCGTCTGTCACTGTTCGCCTGCTCACCGACACTGGTGACTTCCCTGCTGACTAGTGGTCGTAGTAGTGTTCGAGGAGAGAGGAGTGAGCTGGTGGAGCGCAAACCGTGGCTGTCAGTGCTGGTGGTGGTTGACTGCTGCCGCTGCGAGCTCCCGAGATTTTGGCGCCACCGTGCTTTGTCGTCTTCTCTCGCCACTGAGTGAGTGAGTGAGAGGGAGTCAGTGAGGTAGTCAGAGATTTGCCACAGGGTCTTTTTCTCTCTCTCTCTCGATTTGATTAACCGACTCTATATCAAAAGTGAATGGAAGAAGAACAAGAACCAAAACCAGAACAAGAAGAAGTAGTAGAAGTTGAAGAGGAAGAGGCAGCGGTGGCCACTGCGGCGACGACGACCACGAAGAAGAAGAAGAAGAAGAAGAAGAAGAAGAAGGAAGAAGAGGGAACGCGAGGACTGAAGGCGCCGACGAGGAGCAGGCCAAAGAGAAAATGATTTGTAAATGGCCGACTGGTAGGGAAAGTAGCGGTAGTCGGACGGTTGGTCGCTTCGTATTCCAATATATGGCACCAGTGAAGAGGAGAGAAATAGAGAAAGAATTGGCGGCATTTCATTTGAGTTTTCAAATTTTTCCGTTGGCCACTGGCGTGCTGCCATCTAAGTGACCGAAATCAAAGAAGAAAGCCGCCGCGGCCACCACCTGCCTAATGTACTCGAGTGCCAGGTGATTCAAAATCTGCTAGATAAGATCAAGATTGGCCATTTGGTCAGTATTTGAAAATCCAAAATCAAATAATTACAAAATTACAAAAAAATCATGCTGCTTGAAGGCGTGCCGGAAGTAAATGACTTTTTAACAATTACCGGCAAAACAATTTAAAAACAATTAAGCGCCGGCCGCTATTTTCTAACAAAAAGTAGGCGGCACTTTTTTTAATTTCAAGTTAACGACATTTTATTTTAAAAAAAATTAGTTTTTTTAAAATGCCTAACAATTAGTGCTTCAAAAGCAACCTGAATCAATAAGTCAAACTGTCAAACTAACTTTTCGAAACCGAAACCGAAAGCAGCACGTCCTCTACGTACTTGACGATTATGGTGGCGAAATAAAAATGGGAGAGAGAAGCTTGGCGGCTCAAGCGTAGAGTCTCTCTCTGCCTGTTACCAGTGGACAACAACAAGCCAGACAAAGGCTTCAACAGAGTGGGAGATAGCTCGCCTCTGCCGCCGCCGCTGCTGCCGCTGACCGCTGCCCTGAGGACGGAAGGCAAATTCTAAATTGGCCCCTGAGTATCGCCGGTTCCCTTTGGTCGCCACTTGAAGACTTCCGCCAAGTCTGCCAGTCAGTGTCATCACCGCTGGGTCTCCCTCAGCCATTTGACGTAGCAGCGCTGTCTGTCGTTTCGTGAAACGTTGACGCGCCAGCACTCGTTCCGTTGCAGTAGTTCTCGTACTGACACCATCACCACCAGCAAACACCACGCACACGTACCGGCTCACTTGCACCATTTTCTATTTAGTGTTGACCTGCTTGCCCTGCCCTGCAGCCCCAAAGAAGGCATCATTATCATCATACCCTTGTCAACCACTCAGCCAATTAGCCACCATCCATCATGCGAATCTACCTGAAGTCGCTCTCGGAGGGCGCCAAGACGGTGGACCTTAAGGTGGGCAAGATCACCGTCGGCCGTGGCACATTGCTCGATGTAAGTGAATGAGAGACGCGCCTTTTCTACTTCTCATGATAGTCAGGAGCGCACCGAGATGGGACATGATTTACTTATTATCTTTGTTTTACCTGCCAGTGCACCGACAAGAAAGTTTCTCGTAATCACGCCGAAATTGAAGTAACCAAAAGTGGTGACGTCTTCTTGACTTCGGTGAGTTGTTTTTTCATATTTTGTTGAGTCTTTATCGTTTGCAGGCATTTAGGGATTGTGTCTTGATATTTTCAAAGCATAAACGATTGTTGACACATTTGCAAAGGCTAAATCTTGTTTTCGATCATTAATAGAAATTGTTGTTTCCTTTTATTTTAATTTTCTTTACTAACTCTTATTTGTTTTTTTCATTGATGCAACAGTTGCATGTCAATCCGTGCTTTTACTTTCAAGGCGATGCAAATTCGGCGCCAAAAATTGTCAAAAAAGACAGCACTCAAAAGTTGTTTACCGGAGATATCTTTGGCTTTCAAGCCGCAGCGTTCAAATACCAAGTCTTTATCGAAGGCATTGAAAATGTCAGTGTCAATGAGATCAATTCAACGACAAACGACCTTGCGCTGAATGGGTCAGCAGGTCAGAATAAAAAGTCGGAGGATGATGACGACACTAAAGACACTGATGTCAGCGAAAAGAAGGACGCTGCCGCAACTACAGGTGAATCTTCCACAAAGAATGGTAATGCCAGTAGCTCTGTCGCTGACTCCCCGAGCAAGGCCGACTCGAAGAAGAAGGCTGGTGCTGGTCGCAAGGCCAAGCAGCCCAAGAAGGAGGACGACAGCGGCGATGACTATGAAGGCGACGAGGAAGAGGAGGAAGAGGAGGACGACGAAGGTAGCGAAGACGATGATGAAGAAGAGGAGGTGAAATCAAAGGGTCGTCGGGGACGAAACAACACCGGCGCTTCCTCCTCCAAAGGCCGTCCAAAACGTACGCCTCAGAAAAAGTCCACTGTGTCGCTGTCAGACTACGACGATGAGTTCTCCGATGAGAGCGAAGAGGAGTCCTACAAGCCAAAGGGTCGTGGCAGAGGACGAGCCAGCTCGGGCTCGGACAGCGACTGGGCGGCGGACACCAAAAAGTCTGGTCGCGGTCGCGTTACCGGTAAACGCAACTACCGGGAAACAGATAGCGAGTCGGACAGCGACTGGGGAAAGAAAAAGAAGGTTTGTTGTGTTTAGTGGTTTGCTCATTTCAAAAGCGTTTTCTAACTTTTTGTCTTTCTGCAGAAGGCCACTCCGAAGAAGGGCGCCGGAAAGGGTGGTCGTGGTCGCAAGCCCACTCGAACTCCACCCACTCGAAAGTCCACTCGACGTGCCAAGCACGAGTCCGAAGAGGAGGAGGAGGATGTCAGTGAGGGCAGTGAAGAGGAGGAGGAAGAGGAGGTGCTGCCACGTAAGAATGCCCGAGCCGCTGCCAGCAAGAAGAGGGCAGCCAAGGATAGTGAGGACGAGGAAGACGAGGACGAGGAAAGTGGCAGTGATTTCGAGGTGTCGCCTGCAAAAGGAGGACGCAAGGCAGCGCAAAGAAATACCGCCAGCAAGAGACCTGCCACCGGAAGGCCCAAACGAGCAGCGGCTGCCAAGAAAGGTGAGCGATTTGGGTGATTTACTGTATTCTATTTACTAAAATTGCTGTCCTTTATCTGCAGCCAAGAAAGCTGAAAGCGAAGAAGACGAAGAGGAGGAGGAGGAAGAGGAGGAGGATAGTGTGGACGACAAGGTTGCGGCTGATGCCTCAATCGAGGAGAAAGCTTGAGTGGAACGTCCTACGGTCTACGCACTCTCCCCAACATCACACACACACCCATTCTTTTGCAACCGTAACAAGCCCCGAGTATTCATCCAATTTCAAATCTAGCAACACAGTGTGTTTTAATCTCCTCCTTACTTTTTCCTTTGTTTTCTCCTCTTTCTCTCATGATTCGTACCTATCTTCTCACCTTTCATTTTTGTTTCAACTGCACTGACACGCGCAAAATCTTCTGATAAAAACACACTTCTCTATCTTTTCCACTTTCATTTTATATTCTTTATCTCTCTCCCTTTCTCTAGTTATAATCTGCTCTAAACTCTGCTTTATGTTATATTTCGTACCCAACATTTCTAGCATACCGTTTAGAATACTTCTACACAGCAAGGGCATTCATTCATCTATTTGCAAAACTCGCAAAACAACTATCCCCAGCATTGTATGATACATTTCTATATTATAAACAACAAACGCGGAACCTGGCTCTCCAAATCAACTTCCATTCTCTGTACTTTTTTCCACCACCACCACCCACAACTGCAGTAATCTCATTTTCCACTCTATCACCTGACAGAGCACTTGAAAAAAGATGACATTTGCACACCCCACCCCTTCAATCGCATCCACAAACATATATTCACACACAGACACACATTTCTCAAGTAATCCAATAAACTTCAAAACATGAATATTTTACTCATACATCATAAATCATTGTTTAGTAGAACTCCAGATGCGTTAAACGGTGATATTGGTGAGAAGAATGTACATATATTTTTTTGAGATGCGAGATGATGAGTTGTACAGTTTTTACAACATTTATGACTGAATAATGTTCTCTGTAGTTATTTTTGTAGACTGGATTTGAATCATTTCAAAAATCTTCTTCGAGAGGTCGTTTTAAGTGAGCTGAAAAGAGGTTAAAATTAATTAGCACAAATAGAGATTTGAAAGCCACTTTACTAACTGTGAAGGTGATCAACTGGTGGTAAATGGCGGTTCATTTGGGCCATAATGATAGGCTCAANGGTGAGCTGAAAAGAGGTTAAAATTAATTAGCACAAATAGAGATTTGAAAGCCACTTTACTAACTGTGAAGGTTATCAACTGGTGGTAAATGGCGGTTCATTTGGGCCATAATGATAGGCTCAAATTCAAGGAGTTGCTTTCTGAAGCTTTCATTGGGGTGAATGCAGAATCGTCGCAGTTGCACGTATTTGTAGGCTTCAATGTAAGTGCACATCTTTTGCGTCATCACGTAAGCTATGACTAAAGTGGCACTTCGAGAAATGCCACTGATACCATGAACGAGCACTCGGCCATTACTTGCCAGGGCGTTGTTGATGAACTCACACACCTAAGATTGAAGTCATTTAGATTATTGGCGAATGAAGACAAAGAAAAGGGTTACCTTGCGAAAGTACTGTATTATGTTTTGCGATTGCTTATCGGCGATGTCGAGAACCAAGTAAGTGATGCAATTAGGAAAGTGCGGACGAATGTAGTAGGCTTCATTAGGACCCCGCACAACGATCATATGTGTTATGCCAACTTGAGTAAGTTGAGCTTCCTGTCAAGATTCGTGATGTTATCAAGCACTTTTTCTTGTCGATACTTACGTTTTTCTTCATTGCTGAAGCATATGGACCAAGCCAGACTTTGGGCAAGATTTCTTGCATTTCTCTTCGCATTGTATAGGCCCATCTCTATCATTGTTTGTAAATGGTAACATGGTAATTTGAGAAAAGAACAAATGGGTAAGAGATTGTTTTGAAATATGAGAACATTTAAACTTTACCTGAAAAGGGTCCATCTCTTTTACGTGAAAGGTTTCCTCTAAACTGGAAACTTGTTGAATTTCTTCTTCAAAGTCGTCCATCATTTTTTAAAAACTGAAAATCTTCAAAAAACTTTTAACAAAAGAATTAAAGAAACTTGAACCTGGTGCAATTCATGTAAACAACACAGTGCGAGCAAGAGAAGCGCTTTATGTTGTAAGTTCCCGCAAGTTACCGGAAAGTTTTTTTGTACAGCCAAAATAGTCTTTTGAAAAGACCGCCTCAAAATTCTACGCCATTTTTGTCTGGAACGTGAATTTTGAGTCCTGCAAGTACAGCCAGACATGATTTGGCTTGTAGAGCTTAAAGATGATAACGAAAAAACCATTTTTTATCCGATTTTGAACATTCCCTTTTGACAGTTGAAGCAAAGTGAAGAATATGAATAATCCGAAGAATGGTACAGTGCAGACATTCCCACGATAGTGCAAAGTGACGTCAGAAGGCTGCTTGCCAAAAGGTAGTTTCCAGTACACGAAATAGGTTTTTAAATGTCTGCGCCTTGTTGTTAAATGTCAAAGGGTTAGTGAAGCAGCTGGTGAAATCAGATTAAATCTGCTTCATCGGCAGTTACGTTATCATCAGCTCGTTGAGTTGAACCCAAGAGATGATAGTGCCGATAGTGGCGATCAGGAAAGGCACTCTCTAACCGGACAATGACCCACCAAATACTTCTCAAATGTACCTGAAAAGTACTCCAAAGCACCACTACTTTCACCACATGACTTTCCATTGTCCTTGAGGTACATCTGTCTCTAACGCAAAAGAGGGGCTAAACAGTGGAACAGTGTAATTTAATTGAAAAATATGACGGTGACAGAAGAAACAGTTTAGTGAATACTCCTCGTCAATGGGAGACAAAAGAGACAAGAACAGTGGTACTATTATAATAATTAAGAGATAAAATCTAGAAATACTAAATGTGCCAATCAGAGTAGATAAGTTGGTTATGAGTATAGTGGCGGCACAGTGCTAGGGTAGTATAATAATTGTGGTAACTCTTCAAGTCAAACTCTCAGGGCGCCAGAGCATTTCCATCTTCACCTTTACTTTTTGAGTTTTTCGCCGAGCAGCTCCTTCAGCACCTTAATGTTCACCTCCAGCTCAGCCAGCTGCGACTTAAGCGTCTTGTTCTTCTCCTCTTCGGCCTCATAGAGAACGTCCATGGTGCTCTTCTCATCACGCTTCTTAGCACGGTACTTCATTGCAGCCACCTTGTTCTGGTTCTTCACGCGCTCGTCCTGGACACGGCGATTTCGGCGGGCGGGCGCCTTTCGGGGAGCGCGCTTGGCAGCCTGGGCGCCCTTGTTGGCCTTCTTGCTCGGAGGAAGGTACTCCTCATCGTCGTCGTCCTCTTCGCCCATCGCTTTGCGTTTTAGTGTCGAGGCGGTGCTGCTAAATGAATGCACGCTATCGGCATCGCCACTGTCCTCCGAGTAGGGCGAGAGGGAGTCCACCTCGGCAATGTCAGCGACCACTTCAGTGCAGGCCGGAGACGGAGCTTGAGACCACTCCGAGGCAGTGCCGGAGGCGCAGCCGTCAGACAGGCAGCTCTGGAGCATCTGCTTCTGAAGCGAGCTGTTTACCTCCTCAAAGTTGGCGATGCCTGATTCGAAGAGGCAAGTCGACAGTGGGTCTTGGGTCGCCTGGTGCACCGGAGTGAGAGGAGGAGTGAGGTCGGCGGCAGAGTTCGAGTTGGAGGCCTCGAAGGCGTCAAAGGGGAACGCCGTCTGCTCGTTGCTCAGAAACTGTTCGTCAGGCTCAAACTTGAGCTTGCTGAGGAACTCATCAAAGTCGCGGTCAGGAGACTGGCTGGGGGTGATATCCAGCGAAGTGCCAACAGAGTTGCCAGAAGAGCTAGTCGAAGCGGCAACAGCGGGCGTCGATCCAGGATAGCCAAAGCCGCCGAGAATCATGTTCTCCAGCAGGCTGTCGTCCATGTTGACCCACTCCATCAGCGCCGGATCAGCGCTGAAGTCTTGGCTTTCATCTATTAAGCAGTCCGTTAGTTCATTGCAACGCAGAAAGGAACAAAATGGGCAGACGGAGTCGTGGTCTTCGTCGTCAGCCCTAGACTCATTCGTACCTTTGGTTACTGAGCCAATGTCGTTAAGAAAGTCGTTAGGATCCACCGCCATAATTGACTGGTGGTCCGACATAAAGGGATCGTTGCAAGACATGAGGCTTGACATCATCATGGTTATGGTGGTGGAGATGGTTTCGGGTGGACTTTCGCCAAGAATAATTAGGATTGCAGATAAAAACGAAATTGGTGTTGTTCAGGTTTGCATAGTTGCAAGAGCAAGAGAGTGCAGTCATCGTTAGGGTCGCCCTGTATGAAATCAAAAGGAAAGAGTTAGATCAATCGTGGACATCGGTGGCGAAGATCATCGTCGTAGAGAGCTTGAGAACTGACATTTTGCGAGGAAATTAATTTGGGACTTGAGTGGAGTATCAAAAGATACGCCGGGAGAGGTGTTTAGCAAGACATGGTGGTCCAATATCTGGAGGGAACAGGAGGCAAACAGAAAAAAGGAAGGTCGGGAAGTTGGCGTCGGGTGAAGAGGGTGATGTGTGTCTGTTGTCGCCGAGAGTGAGTTGAAGAATGACGAGGCCTGCTGCGTACTGCCTGCCTATACGTTCGCCTGTCGTTTGCCTGTGCTGGCTGCTTGCCCGCCTGCCTCTTTCTCCTTGGAGCGGCCGCCAGTGGCGAGATTTGCACTGACGCGAAAATGCACTGTAAGTGCAGTGATGCCTCCGCCTCCTCGCTGGTGCCAAGTCGGATTTACCAGGGCGCCAGCTACCGTTTGGGACCCTACCAACTGCCAAACGCCACCTCACCGTTCCCACTGAAGACTGCGTGTCCTTTTGCGCCCGGCCCGGGCGTCAGGTGCCCAGATGGAATAGTGATGCAATGCACCCACAATGCATACACGCTGAGAAGCTTCCAGAGCTTTGCAGTGACGTCACACTGTAGTGGAGCGAGTGGAGGAGGAGAAGGCGAACAGGCAGCGGCTGCTGCGTTGTAGGGCAAACAGAGTACCGATGTGCTAGTCTGTGTTACTATGCACTCTCTGCGGAGTGCTGTATCCTTTCACTCGCCGTCTCAAGATCTGAAGGCCACCTCGGTGACTCACTCTAAATGTCAGAGATGAAAACGACACCGCTACGTTTGGCTGATGCTACTGCTGCTGATGCTGTTTGTGCACTGCACAAAGTGTGCTTGTAGCCGGCGTTCTCGCGCCCGGTTTGCCGCCTCCTTGGGAATCATCCTGTCTGGGTTGGCCGTTTATCAGACTCTGATGATGGTGAACGATAAACACAGTGGTGGTAGTAACGGCGGTGGAGGAGGAGGAGAAAGAGAAGGTGACTCGGCGTGCACTAGTCTCTACAGGCACTAGTGATTCAGTTCCCACGTTTAATTGGATTCTATTTGAAGAAAGAGTAGCTGTACAATAATAACACTAGGAATAGACGATAACTAGACAAAACGACTACTGATGGCGATAATCTTCGCAAGCTCGGGTCCCTTGCTGCGCAGGTAGTTGGGAATGGGCACGACGACTCGTGTTCCAGTGGGGTTGCCGTTGTTCTCCACGAGGACGACGTTGTTCGTGTCGAACTTGGGCACCATGGGCCTCTGCTCGGCGACCAGGCCGACGACGTAGCCGCGCTTCATCTGTCCCTTGATGGTCACTAGCACCTTGTCGCCCAGCTGCCCGTCCATCACCTTGCTCTTCTTGTAGACGTGAATGCACTTCACCTTCTTCCCCTCCGTCATTGCCTCCTTTCCAATCTTACTGTTGTCCACCACTCGTAAGCGAGTCTGCCTCTGAACCCATTGAAGAGGAGTGGTGGTGCTGATGGACCGTTTCCTAGAGAAAAGAGAGAAGAAAGGTGTGAATATGGGTAGTTCCAGATGATCCACAGTTTGTACGTACACGAGGTGATTATTGCACAGAGCGGCGATTCGGTTTGAGCAAATGGCCGACATGGTGAGGATAAATGTTTCAGGCTCTTCCCGGTGCAGATTAAGAAAAGAACCCAGAAAAAGTCAAAACCCTCAAAACACGTGATTCAAACCAAAACACGCAACAGCCGTCGAAATAGTCGACGATGTTTGAGATTTTTTTCAACAACGAATTCCTGGTTTTTTATCTTCCATCAGCTGATATTATCCATTTATACTTGTATTCTTCGATTCATTTTAGTTTTTGGATTGCAGTTATCAGATTTTAAAATTGCAAAATCTGCATCAACTGAGTCCGACTATGTCGACCTCTGCCGACACAAAGACAAACGATTGCAGTTCGAATTTTTATTTCGAACTTGCTGTAGTTGCGTTTTTAAGGCAACTGCATCTGACGTATTTAGTCTTTTGTACTTTGCGTTGTGCCCTTGACTAAAAACTAACCCAAACCTTCTTTTCTGCGCATTCTGCCAAAGATGAACCACTTTGAAATTGGCATTACTCACCCTCCGGTGAAGCACAACCACAGCACCGATCGTCGTATCAACGGGGTGTACCCGTACAATGCAAGTCGCATCTACTTCCTACATCCGGTGCAGCTGGACGTGGAGATTCGCGCCCCCGAGTCAGTACTGCTCCTCCTACTTGCCTTCATTGCAATGGTTTTGACGCTCTTTCTCTTCTGCCTCCTCTCAAGTAAGTTTTTTACTTTTTTTGTTAGCACCTAAAAATCCCCTTTCCCTCTTTCAAAAGACCCTGTGCCCGAGGTAAAGGAGCCCCCTCCGAAAAAGGTTTCCTCTCAGGCTGGTAAGAAAAAGCAGAAAGGCCGCCTGCAGATCGACTGGTCCATCCTCAAGGTGTCCAAGGTGAAGCTGGACGTACTGAGCAAGATTGAGATGTGCAAGAACCCCGGCTCGGAGGCGCCCACTATTCAGGGCGACCTCACTGCTGCCGCCGCCTCTGCAGGCACTACTCCCTCCACCAGCAAAGCTGATGTCAAGCAGAACCAGAAGAAGGGCAAACTGAGCGAGGCCGTCAAAGCAGTTCGCAGTGGAGTGAAGAGCAAGTTAAAGCAAAGAAGCGCAACCAGCAGCAGTCGCTCCATGCAGTAGTAGTGCAAGCAGCCAGCCTGGTAGCATCATTGAATAAGCAAATGCTGGCAGCATGTTTTATTTTTGCAATTAAACTATACCCACTATATTAGCGCTCATCCTGCGCCCATTTAGACATGGTAAAGCGCTGGAGGTAGTGCGTGCTGAAGATGCAGGCGTCAGACTGTCGGGTGGCCGACTGGCACCCGTCCACCGTCATCACCTTCAGCGCCACCTTCAGACAGTACTCAATGAAGGTCTCGTTGTGAAGATTGAAATCGACACATTTTTGAAGCTCAGCGTAAAGTCCACTCTTGTCTTTGGCCATCTCCTGGAAATACTCAGCATCGGCCTCTAGTTCACTGCTTATTCGGTCAATTGCTTGCTTCAGCAAAAAGTGGCACTCTATTTTACTGCTAGTCAAGCAGCAAATTAGCAGAAGATGAAGGAACAGTTGTGGAAGATTCATTGAATTGGAAAATTATGTTTTGTATGCTGACAAACAACAACAACAACAGCTTTATTTGTCAAGGTAAGTGTTTCGTAAAATGAAAAAGTTCTATTATATCATCATCATCATCAGTTCTTCAGCACCCACTGGTAGGCGTTCTCAAACATCTTCGCCCAGGGACTGGCCTGCACCCCGCGCAGACTGTGCTCCAAGTTCTCCGGAACGTAGGGCCACTGCCAGGAGAGTGTCGCCCGCTCTGGATGGGGCATCATGGCCAAGTGGCGTCCGTCCTCGCTGCAGATGCCGGCAATGGCCTCCTCGCTGCCGTTCGGGTTCATCGGGTACTGCATCGTCGGCTTGCCCTCATCGTCGACGTACTGGAGGGAGACGCAGCCACTGCCGCCCGTCATCTGTCTCTTCACCTGCTCACTCTCAAAGACGAATCGTCCCTCTCCGTGGGCCACCCAGACGCCCAGTGCGCTGCCCTGCATGCCGGCCAGCATAATTGCCGGCGTGTGCTGGGGAATGAGCACCGAGGTGAAGCGGCACTCGAAGCGGCGGCTCTCATTGTGCTCCAGCATCGTGCCCTGGGTTCCTGCAGCAAAAATGTTAAACTGGTGATCCGACTGTTAACCCCCTCTCCCTCTTCCATTTCACTTACCATCCTTCTTGGCGCCCACCCACCCGAGCAGTGCCATCAGCTGGCAGCCATTGCAGACGCCCAGCGAGAAGGTGTCCGAGCGTCGCTTGAAGCGCTCCAGCTGCGCCTCCACTTTGCCGTTGAACTTGAGAGTGGCCGCCCAGCCGCGGGCGCTGCCCAGCACGTCGGCGTAGGAGAAACCACCGGGAAAGATCACCCCGCGGAACTGCTCCAGGCTGATGCTCTCCGAGATGAGGTCGGTCACGGTGACGTCGGCCACCTCAAAGCCGACCATGAACAGACTGGCGATCATCTCCCGGTCGCCGTTGATGCCCTCCTCACGCAGCACCACCACTCGAGGTGCGGAGCTGATGTGCGAGTCAATGTCTGTGGTGTAACAAAGGGTTTCAAGTTAGTGTTTGTGTTTTGGTAAACGATCAAACTAGTCAACTTACTAATCTTGATACCCTTCGGATCAAAGGTCAGCTGCCACTTGGGCGTCTTTCGGTGCTTCAGCCCGCTCTGCTCCTGCTGCACACAGGCAGGATTCGCCTGCAGCTTGTCCAGCGCAAATGTAGTCGCCTCCCAGGTGTCGCGAAGCTCCGTCATGGTCGACTGTAAAGGTAGAAATGCAGGTTAGTACCAAGTTATATACCCAAGACAATCTCACCTTAATCTGGACGACACCATCAACGGCAATCAGGACGCTGTTCTCTGGAACGGCCGCACCGACGACCTGTGCGTCAACACCGGCCGCCTTGAACTGCTGCATCGCCGCCTCCAGCCCGTCATTGCGCAGCTCCACCACCACACCGGCCTCCTCCGCAAAGAGCACATTGAAGACGGGCACACCCTTCTTTCCGCCCTTGATGTCCACCTTCAGACCGCAGTTGGTGGCGAAGGCCATCTCGAGGAGACAGGTGACCAGGCCGCCGTCGCTCACGTCGTGGCCGGCCGTGCAGACGCCCTCCTTGATCAGCGACTGGACAATGTTGAAGCAGCTCTTCAGCTGCTGGGCACTGTCAATGTCCGGACAGCTGTCGCCCACCTGCTGCATGACCTGCGCAAAGGCGGAGCCGCCCAGGCGGTGGCTGCCACTGCCGCTCAGATTGGCGTACACCAGACTGTGCGAGCCAGTTGTTCCGTTTGCCTTCATCACCGGCGTCACCTTCACGCGAATGTCCGGCACTGGGGCGTAGGCGCTGATGACCAGCGTGCCCGGCGACTTGACCACCTCACTGCCGCCGGCCGTCTTCACCTTGGCCGCCATCGACAGGGAGTCCTTGCCGCCGTCAATGGCAATGTTCAGCTGCTTCATCAGGCCGACCATCGCCTGGCAGGTCTCCACGAGGAGGGCGCCCTCGCCGTCCAACTTGGCCGGCCACATCCAATTGCCGGAGCACTTGACGTCGGCCAGCTCGGTGATGACGGCGAACATGAGGTTGGTGACGGCCTCGGCCACTGAGAGGCGGCCATTCGCCGCCGGACTGATCAGCCCCTTGATGGGCTGCTCGCCGATGGAGGTGGCACTGCCGCGGTATGTGAAGTAGTTCAGGGCGATCATGGCGTAGTCGGCCAGGGGGGTGTGCAGAGGGCCGACGCATTGCTGCTGGGCGACCAGGCCTAGTTAACGAGTAATAGATTTAGCAATGTGACCAAACCGTGCTCACCACAACTTACCGGTAACGCATCGATCCACCTTGGTGGTGAGGAAGCGTTTCGAGGCGACGGCAGGCAGTCGGAGAACTCGATTGAGCGCCTCATTGACGGTCATGCTCGCCGGAATGGCCAACGGTCGCAGCGAGGGCGTCAGCTTGCGGAAGGCAAACTTCTTGCGTGGCATTGAGCCGAGCACCGACTCCAAACTGAGGTGAACGGGCTGTCGACTCTGCCGCTCATCCTCAATCAGCGTAATGTGCTCATCGCCGGTGATGTGTCCGACGTAGTCCACCTGGCACTTCTCTCGCCGTCCAATCTTATCCAGAATGCTCTTGTTTTTCTCGCTGACCAGAATGGCATTGCTCTCCTGGTACTCGGCGCCCCACAGCTCCATCGTGTTTATGGTCGGATCGCCGAGGGTGAAGTTCTTGCAGTAGATCTTGGCGCCCTTTGGCTCGCAGATCTCCTTCAGCACGTTGCCATTGCCGCCGGCGCCCTGGTCGTGGATCGACTCGATCACGTTCACGTCTGCAATCGAAAGATTTCATTGTTAAAAATTTTGCTGCAGCAGTAGATCACACTTGATCACACACTTACCCTCACACTCAATGCAGGCTCGAATCAGTCGGTTCATCTTCTGCTCCATTTCTGCGTCGCCTCGCTGTACGGCGCCAAAGTCGAGACTCTCGCTTCCCTCGGCGCCCTGCACCTCAGTCGAACTGGCCGCTCCGCCGCCGACGCCGATTCGGTAGACCGGGCCGCCCACCTTTGCCACGACCATGCCCACCTCGGGGTCGTTCTTCTTGACCATGGTGGCGTCGATGGTGCCGATGCCGCCGCTGAACATGATCGGTTTGATGTACTCGATTCGCTCCTCTAAAAAAGAGTAATTAGCAACAGTCTTACTTTTCCATCCTAAAACCCTCCTTACTTTTTTCATTTCGCTGTCCGTAGCTTCGACAAAATCCCGACAGCACCGGCTCTCCGAACTTGTTGCCGTAGTCAGAGGCGCCATTACTCGCCTCAATGCAGATCTGTGCCGGAGAGGCAAAGTTGCTCGGATAAGTCTCTCCCTGTTTCTCCCACTCCAGATCGTAGCCAGGCAAGTTCAGGTTGCCAAATGAGTAGCCAGCAGTGCCGGCAATGACGTGTGCTCCTCTGCCTGCCGCCTGCACGTCCCGAATGCGCCCACCAGTGCCGGTAGTGGCGCCCGGAAAGGGCGCCACACCGGTGGGAAAGTTGTGCGTCTCCGCGGTGAAGATGATGTGCCTCGCCTGGGCGTCCTTCACCTGCACAAAAGACGCCTCAGTGGGGTCCTTCGGCAGGAGCACCTTCAGGTCGGTGAAGCCCTTGATGGCGCTGGAGTTGTCGTTGAACTTGATGACATTGTTGTCATTGGTGGTCGCCTGCGTGCTGGCCACCATGTCGATCAGCGACTCGGGCACCTCCTGTCCGTCCACAAAGATCTGCCCCTTGAAGAACCAGTGGCGCGAGTGCTCAGAGTTGGACTGCGCCAGGTCGAAGCACTCCACCGAGGTGGGGTTGCGCTTCAGCTGGTCGCGGAAGAGGCCGCAGTAGTAGGTGACGTCCCAGTCGTCGAAGGAGAGGCCCAGCTTCTCGCTGACCTCACGCAGGGCCGCCTCGCCGCGGCCGATCACGTCGATCTCGTACCAGTTCTCGGTGCTGGCGGGCAGTGCAAAGGAGGTGATCGGCTGCGAGTACCGCTGTTCGGTCATGCGGTCGTGCAGTGCCTCCACGAGCACAATCTCCTGCTCCTTGTTGAGTGCTTTCTGAAGGAGAAAAAGGAAACAGGAGATGATGAAAACATGTTTACACGATGTTGTTGTTGTTGTATCTAATTAAAAGAAGTGAAAAACTGCCGTAATAAGTCATACCGTCAACTCGAAGAGGTAAAGAGTGCTCTTCTCAATGCGTCCCACTTTGTCGGCCAGGCCGATGTTGGTGCAGATGGAGACGGCGTTGGTGGAGAGCGCCGTGCTGAAGTTGAGTCGAGGACCAATCTCCACGAAGAAGCTTCCGCCTGTCTTCTGCTTGCTGCGAAGGCTCGACACGCCGGCTGACAGTTTGCTCTCAAAGTTCGGCGTGAGGATCCACTGGATTCGCTCGAGCTCGCTCGATGACAGCTTTTCTGGTGGTGGTGGTTACAGCAAGTTTATTCATCATCATCACAATTCATCAATTTAGCCAAACTTACCTTGACAGTCGACGTAGTAGCAGAACTCAGAGTGCACCTTCTTCACTGGACCGACAATGGCGGCCACCTTGGCGGCCACTGCCTCCTCCTCGGCGCCTGACAGTGCCGGACTCTGGTAGAACTGCAGAACAGCGGCCATGGTTGAAACACTGCTAGTATCACTGGTATGAAAAACAGATGAACGATTCAAGTAATGCTGCTGACGCTGACGCTGATGATGATGGTGATCTTGCTTTTCCTCTTCTGACTTACAAATGATATTGACCGAGGTAGTCAGTCGACTGGTGGCATTTATGCACTGGGAAAGACTGAAGCAGAGCAGACGTTCAAGCAGTCAGTCAATTCGCGCTAGACATTTTGTATCGGCGATAAGCACAGCAGCAACAGCAGAAGAGGCATTGATCAGAGCAGTGTTCTTTATCAGGGCGGCTGCTCACCACTACAGCCACTCGGCAGACACGTCTTGGGGTCTTTCTCGCTTGCTACCATCGGACTGATGCACTGTTGCACACACTGTCAGCCAGTCAGTCATGGTGATCCGATCCAAAAGTACTCTTCCCTCTGGGGAAACAGAAGGCAGTGCTGAGCACACAAACAAGGGTGCCACAATCAGCCTGCTAGGCAGCGTGGTGCCACTCTCTAAGACAACAGCAGCAACAGCAACAGCAGCACAGTTGCACTTGCAATAGCTAGCTGGCAAATCTTCAGCATCATCTTTTTCTTCAGCCCTGCAATCACTGCCACCAGATCAAAAACTCTCACTCTCTCTCTCTCTCCCTCGAACGATAGAGCGAAGTCGCTTTTGACGGTGGCTAAAGATAAGAGCGGTAGTGTGGAAGGAGGAGGAAGCAGATTTGTGGAAGAAGAGGAGAATCTAGCTTTGGCATCGGCTATCGATGAGTCCATCAATTTACTGTCTGAAAACGACTGACTAACTGGCTGACTAACTGACGTAACCAGTGATCAGTCAGCGACTAAGCCGCAGCATCGCTAGCCAGCTTCGTGCAGGCAGATTACCTTGCTCACTGTGCTCATATACACTCCTTCAGATGATGAGCATAATTGAGCTCTGAAGTGATGCGGCTGATGTGTGTGTGTGTTTGGTGTTCGCCGAAAATGAGTCAATTAATCAATTGATGAGGCCGCAGTGACTTCACTGCTCACATGAGTGACAAAAAATAAAAATAAAAACCCGAGCAAAGTGTCGTCGGTAGAGCATACTGAGTGCTCTCATCCTCATCACCGTCGTACACTCTTCCACTGCTGACCTGACGAGCCGCCAGGGTGATAAGATAGCAGTGGCAGCCTTCTGAGGAAAACTTTTTTGCCGCTCGGAGACAAACACCACTTTCCCTTAAACAAGCATTGCCGGTGATCACATAAATGTGTGTCTTTGCTACTGCGATCTGGTCTAGTGATTAGTACCGATCATCATTGCCATCGACTAAATCAATTATTTTTTATTTTGAACAAATTTGCAAAATTGAGACAACGGAACACAAGAAGTAGTAGAAGAACAGTTGACACAGAATGAGAGAGAGAAAGAGAAATGTATGATAATATCACTACATTGGCACTTGTAAGTGGCGCCAATACAACAATGAAATTGCAATACTCAATAGGCAGTCATTGCAAGGAACATCAGAAAGAGAAGAAAAAGTTGAGAAAGAGGAACAGTTCAATGGGGAAAAAAGAAAAAAACAAATGTACAGTAGCAAGTGTAAATTAAAGATGTACAAAAATAAATAAATAAATGCAAGTTAATAAATAATAATATGTAAAGTAATCATCAGCCTCATCATCATCAACATCAATTGCATTTTGGCCAAGTCTCGTGATCAAAAGTGGAAATCCTAGTGGCGATGTTTGAGAAAAAAGTAAGAGAGCAACAGGAGATGCTTGTGGTGGTGGTGGTGAGATATGTACAGCACAACTTGAAAGATGAATGACGATGTGAGACGAATGTGTTTGTGTGTCTGTGAATGACGATTTCTTTTTTTCAAAACGATGATGAAGTGGTCTGTCATCTTAGCCCTTCTCACTCTGTTTATCACCTTAGTGCACACACAGACAACTGACTGGCAGATGAAAGAGGCGACAGCGAGTGAGCCAGCAAATAAACATCACCACCACCAGTCACCGTCTTCAAATGTAGTAATACGACTTTGAGTATTGTACAAACTGCAAAAAATACTGACTAGAATTTTGATTCATTGATGACGATTCGCTGTGTAACTGAGATGCCTCATTTAGTAGCCATTTCGTGTGACCAGTCGGCGAGAAAGTCCTCCTTGTTGGTTTCCTCTTCCCCCTCCTCCTGCGCCTCATGACCAAGTTTGCCCTCCACCAGCGCCGCTCGATGTCTCTTTCTGATCGATGGCTCACTTTCAGAGAATGACAACGGTTTCCAGCGTTTCTCCTCTGAAAACCTGCTCACCTCGTGAGAGTTGCTGCCGATGCCACTGCTGCTTCTGCTGCCGCCCACAACATCACCTGTCGAATCATTAATTTCCTCAACCGAATTCTTTTCAACAGGTGGTGAGTGTTGTGGTGAGTGATGCCGTTGCTGGTGCTGTCCTTGGTCATCGCTAAAGAATCGACTCATGTAGCCGGCAATGCTGCCCAGTGGAAAGTGATTAGCCTGGTCGACGGCATTGCTGCTGCCCGCAACCGACATTGATCGTTGCAGTGACACATTGAAGCCGTCAGTGGATGAAGAGGGCGCTGAGGTGGAGGGTGAAGGTGAAGTGGACGGAAAAGTCGGTGCAAAAGTGCTTGAAGAAACGGTGACGCCATCAGCCAGACATGTAGCAGAGTAAGAGCAACACAAACGACCATTCTAAAAAGAGAGAGAAGGAAAAGAATTAATGTGCGTGTTCTTTAATTAGCATGACAGGTGCAGGTTGAGTGGTGCCGATGATACTGGTGCTTCGAAGAGTGAGAAACAGTGACGACAACTAAAGGTGCATTGGACAAGCAGTGGACAAGCAAAGTGGAAAATGCATATCAAAACAGTAAACATGGCAAGCAAAAAGTGCAAAAGAGGGGGATGCATTGAAAAGTAATCAGAAACAAACAACGACAAGCAGTGCAACATAATAAAGTATTGTGGTAATCGAACAGTGTGCTCAAAATGTACTGTAGTGCAAAAAGGTGTGACACCATTCTTTCAAGTCATTCGGTTTTGTGAGCCCGAACTTGTTGACCTGAACTTTAGTCAGTGCAGTGAAGTGACTTGTGTGATTTGTAGTGTGTGTATTTTGTAGTTTGTAGTCACATTTACCGATTGTTTTTTGCACTACCGCTAAGGGCAAACAAACTGTGGCCTGCACTGGAGGCCATTCTCACTGGGCGTATCTGTTCAAAGAGCACTTGAGGTACCTGTTGTGGTGGAACAAGGGGTGGACAAGGGGGCGGTCAGTTATTGATGGATTATTGTTATTTGGGGAAAAGAGGGGGATGTTATTCATTAGAAGGGAATTTGGGAGATCATTAGAGTGTTCAGTAGACAAAAACGGATAATATTGCATTCCGCATATTCGAGAGATGAGCAATACTGGCTGAAATTGTTTGGTGTGTGAGTATGTAGATGTTTGTGTGTGAAATGGAGAATAATAGTTCTCCAGCAGTACTGAATCGATAGAGGAAAGAGATTATAAAGCTCGGTGCCGTTAAGTAAACAGTGATTTGCGCTCAGTTATTTCCCGATTCACAGCCGCACACAATTGCTGAAGCCAATGCCGACACCGCTGATGATGACTAATTTCTAAATTGGTTTGGCAATGGCAGTGTCGAGGCAGTAAAATAAACAGCTTCGGATGCAGCCGCAGCAGAAAGAGGCAAGACAGCACAAAAAAGTATCATCATGCCATCGGAAAATAGTTTTATAGAGTAGTAGTAGTATTTTTGCCGCCTTTGCCTTAGTGGTTGATTGTTTACTTTGTTGCCGCCGTCGTCGATGTGAACATCACCACCGCCACCACCAGCAGCACACAACCTTCACACAGGCACCCGTTGGAAATGAGAACGTGTCTCGGCGAGCATTGCCGAAATTCGCATGGCACCCAAATCTTTCCTTCTCCTTTCCTTCATCGCAAAGCGTCTCCTTTGTTTTGTCTAAGCGACAGCATCAGCCTCAGCACAGTCGTCGGCATGTTGCGTTGGTTAAGAATTGCCAAGTTGTGAGTGAGCTGATTTTGCGGCCGGCTCTACGCCGCTGATGAAGATGATGCTCTGAAGACGCACTGACGAATGCACTACTACTAGTGTTGGCACCACCACTAGTGCCAGTGCAGACAAACTCCAAGCAACTCCGACTGCGACTAAATTGGCAAGGCAAGCACGTATCAGGGGCGCTACGTTTAGCTGACAAATAAACTCTCTAGCTGTACTACCGACTAATTAATTGGTCATATTAGCGGGTAGAAAGGGGGCAAAGGGGAAAAGCAGAAGTGGTGGTTAGCATTGAAAACATGTCGGCTGATTTTTGCAGCCGGTTGCAAAGAAAATAAGAAGCAAATGGTAAACAGGCAGCCTGTTTATGCAAAGGACTACTGCATTCTCTACGGCGGTGATTAGTCATCAGAGGAAGAATGGGGAGGGGAAAAGGGAAAGGAACGATAGCAGCAGTCTTTTACGTTTGACGTGAAATAAGTCAAGTGATGGCGGTTAACAGTCACAGCAAGCGCACACGGTGATTGCTGCTCTACTCAGTTTATAAACTTGAAAATGGAAGCCATTTGTTGCTACATTCTTCCTTGATGAGCGACTCTTTGGCAGCCTTCGCATTACACAAATGTGTGACAAAACTTACCTGGCAAAGACAGGAGGTGCACTTGTCAGTGTTGTCCATGTTCACCAGCTGACCACTCTCGTAGTGCTTGTTCAGGTGGCGGCAACCAGCCAAGGGCAGCGTTCCATTGCCTGCCTTCGGACCAGGCGACTGACAGGGGTCGTCTTCACAGCGCAGACAACAGTCACCAGGGGCTCTCACTGGATTCAGGCAGTTGGTCATCAGCGGTGGACACTCACTCCAGCAGTCAATTTCGCCGTTCTGTAGTTGGTCAGTGAACATGGGAAAAGAATGAGTTAATTGGTATTACCTTGCAAACAAGCTGATCAGTACAATTCAGGCAATTAATCATCATCTGCAAAACTGTCTACCACCTACGCACCGACCACCACCACCACCACCACTTACCATGCACTCGCACGTTTGACAGTCGTAGTTCCAGCGTTCTCCACTGCTAAAAACCTTCATTCGATCCTCCTGATGAAAGCACACTTTAGCGCTGCGACCAGCGACGCCGCTGCACTGCGGACAGCAGTGCTGTTGGTGCCTATCTAGGTGCATCTGTACATCGGAGCAGTCGCACTCCTTTGCCTCGCATCTGACTACTCCCTCGGAGCAGTGGCACGTGCTGCAGGAGTCTTCCTCAGAGGGCCACCACTCGCCCTGTCTTCGTTGCAGTCCATTGACGATACACGACTGACAGTCGATGGTGGTGAGAGTAGTGGGAGTGGAGGTAGAATCGATTTCGTTCAACGCTGGATCGCTGCTGTTTGTTTGGTTGACAGCGGCGGCGGCGGCAGCAGTGCACTCGCAGCGATATCCGCCGTCAAAGTTGATGCACCGCCCATCGCCTGGACAGGTGTTCAGCCGTGGACTGGCGCACTCGTCCACATCGTGGCACTGTACCTCCTCGTGGTGACCACTACCACCAGCACTGTGGCCAATGGTGATGCCGTCCACCATCAGCTCCCTTTTTGCTTCGTAGCCTTTCAGGCAGTCGCAGTGGTACCAGCCAGGCTTGTTGACGCATTTCGAGATGACTGGACACTGGTGCAGGCCCAGAGAGCACTCGTCAATGTCTGCGTTTAAGTGAAAGGGAAGAAAGAAAGAAAAGTGGTAGGTAAGCACACAGGCCCGCTTGCAAACTGTTGATCTATTGTACTACTTCAATTTGTTCAGCTAATAAGCTAGAAGGCAATCATCGAATGTAGTGGTACCTCTCAGTAGTAGTGCTAGTTTGTTTACTCACCCGCTTCACATCGATGGCCATAGTAGCCCCTTCGACAGGAGCACGTGTCCGGCGCGACGCACTGACCGCCATTGAGGCAGGAGTGCCTGCAGACAGCTGTAGTCATGATAGGGGAAAAAGAGACAATAGTGGTGGTCAGCCAGTTGGTCAATTGCTTGCTGAGTGTGGCACTACTCCAGTGGCCACATTGTCTGGCCAGCGACACTCACCTTTGCACACCTTTCCATCGCCTTCATAACCTTCTTTGCACTTGCACCGGTAGCTGCCTGGCGTGTTCTCGCAAACGGCATTCTCGCCGCACAGATGCTCATTCGTGGAGCACTCGTCGATGTCTGTTGGGAAAGAGATAGTGCAAATTGACGTTAATCGGTAAGCGCTTTTTACTGCATTCAGTGCATTTAGTACAGACACACAAAGTGCACAAACACACACATAAAATAGCAGCAATTACATTTAAGGGGCTTACAAGCATGCAAACTCAAACACTCTTCAACGTTTCTAAAAAGAGAGGGGAAAGTGCCATCATCACTTTAGCCTACCTTTTTAAACTATCTGCTGCGGCTAATCATTCGCCAACGCCATTGCTGATCATTTGCATCATGCAGTTGAGCAGTTTGTTTGCTTAGCATCAGCATAATCATCCCCTTGTCAGTGGTTCTCACCACACATCTAATGACACTGCGCATCAGCAAGTGCTGCTGATTATTTTCTTGTTTTCCCTTTTTCCGAATGCTAATAAGTATTTTTGATAACTATATGCTAATCAGCTCTACTGCTGGACGAAAAACTACCGCCGACTACCAACACCAGTGACACCTCCGCAAGCTAAAAAAGTGGCAGCACCTCGTGCAGGGGAATGAATGAATGTGTGCACAAATGCGAGTGGGTACTACTCCCTTGCCATTTCCACTGCGGATGTCCTTATCCTCTTTACTGTTTGTCTTTGTCTGTGTGTGTGGGGCCCAGGTCCGGGGGCAATTGTTGAATGGCGTTCACTTGACTAGCCTAATCACTTGGCCGTTGTTTACTCACCAATACAGCGGTGCTCATCGACGGCCGTCCAGCCGGATTTGCAGCGGCAGGAGAAGGAGCCGGGCTTGTTGACACAGGTCGAGGCGACGCTGCTGCAGTTGTTCAGCCGCTCGTCGGCACACTCGTCCACGTCGACGCAGGTGTGCCGCCCCGGTGCGCTACCGTTCACCGCCCCTCGGTAGCCGCTCTTGCAGAGACAGGTGTAGTTGGTGCGAAGGTTCAGGCAGACGGCGTCAGGGTGGCACGTGTGCCCTTGGGCGCAGAAATCGGTGCCCTCGCAGATCATGCAGCACTCGCCGTGCGGCTGAATGCGCCGGTCGGCGCTGCAGTTCAGCGGCGGACAGACCTTCGCCAGGGGCACATCGCGGCAATTCAATTTACCATCCTAAAGAGGGGGAGAGAGAGAGGAAGGGAGAACATGAGTTAAAACAGCCGCAGCAGTAGTAGTAAAAAAGATAAAAAGGGGTGAGCAGACGGTTAATTAATCAAGCAATTATAACTGCTGCAATGCAATGTGCAGAGTGCGGCGCTTCTAATCCGATGTCAGACAGGCAGACAGAATGACTGACTGACAGGCTCCCTATTTGTCAGGCAGCCAGACAGACAGACCGTCTCTGCTGTTTGTGGTAGACAGGACAGACGCTAATGATGCCGACAAGCTAGAAGAGCATTAATTTCACTGCTAATGGGGGAGAAAAGGGGGCATGCTCTCGCCATCAGCACCACCACACAACTTGCCTTCTCGCAGACGCACTGGGTGCACTTGAATTTACGCAAGTTCAACTCGGCAAACTTTTCGCCCTCGTTCATCTTTCCTCGGCTTTTCTGGTAGCATTGCTCTGTGTGAAAGAGGGATAAAAAAGTTGAAAAATGCATGTTTAGTTTCAGATGACAAGAGGGAACTGGTGGACTGAAGAGGAAAACCAGAAGAAAGAGACATCAAATGATGCGGCACTGCTTACTTTTACATCGCGGACAACAGGGGTCTTGTTGAGAAGACGCAGCAACACCTCGAATGCAGGAATTTTCGCACTTAATCTTCTTACACGTCACCACGCCGCCCTGTGGTTTGCAGAAACAAGGGAAAACAGGGGAAAGTGAGTTAGTGAGTGAAGTAAAAAAGGGCACCCAAAAGGTGTGCAAAATAAAAGGTGATTAATTAAAAAGCAATCTATTAGTGAGGCTACTATTACTAGTACTAATGATGAGGCTCTAGTAAAGGCATAATTGATTGCAATCATCAGCATCAGATTGCATTAACTTTTTTTCTGCTGTAGTTCCATTATCTATCACCTCGAACTAATGTGACTATTGCAGCAGCAGCAGTTGCTGAGATTAAAGATCTTAATAACTGTCGTGTAAACATTGTGCTGAATTCAAAAAAATATAAATGTTAGCTAGTTTTCAAAGAGTGTACTGCCGTCAATCAAACTTCATTCAAAACCTGAGACTGAAAACTAAAAAGGAAAAGGCAACTAAAGAAGAAATCGCCCCTTGCCAAATCTTCTCCCTCCAGCGAATATATTTGCATGACTAATTAAAAGAAAAAGAAGAAATATAGCAGCCCTCACAGAGTGCATTTATGCGGAGTGCACTGTACACATATGGCACTGGGAAATTGTCAGTAAAAAGTGACTGAAAAATATGTAGAAAAAGGAAAGAGGGCAAAAAGAGAGCCCCCATCGCACCGATCAGTATCTCCTTCTAAAGTTTGCTAGCCGGATAGCGCCGCTGCAGCACTGGGAAACTTTGTTGCAAGATGTGATTGACTTGTCAAGTCCAGTTGCAGTCACTTTAAACTCTCTTTCTGTGCCTTAGGTGCTCCCCGAGCGAGCGCCTCGGCCTTAGCTGCTGTTCACCACTTTTCCAATTTGCTCATTGACTTTTCAAAAAGCGTTAGTAGTAATTAGATAGACAAGCATGCAGGGATGATTAGTCTTATGATGATGACGCCACTGTCAATGAGAATTGTTCGTGGCTCAGCTCAGCAGTGATACAGCCGTTCGCTTGCAGAGTGTGCACACTTACCGAACAGGTGCAGTTGTCGCAACCCTGCCGCCAGGTTGATCCATCAGCGTAGTGGGTGCCATTCACCGAACAGCTCTTTGCACAGTCACACGATTCAACGTTCTCCAGACGATGTTCAAATGCTTGAAGCTGTTTTAAGGAAGGGGAAAAAGGAAGGAAATTAAGAAGGTGTAATTAATTGCCTGCTCAACACTGATTTTCATTCAAACACTAGCAACATGGCCGTCTGCCAGTCAATATTAGTGCCACTTTAAACTGTCTCAGACGGAGCTGTTTGTGGGGGCTAGCAGACAGGGCAGACAGAGAGAACAAGCAGACTGTTGACTGTTGACTCAATGCAGACAGACACTGAAATAGAAACGGGGCTAAAAATGTTACAAATTGAGTGGGCTGCAAAAACAGGAGCATACTAGCTGCGATACAAGTTCTCAGTTTTTTCCATGAAAAAGTTCAATTTGTACTTTTTACTCTTTTTTGCGCGACGCGAGCACTTGCGATCTATTAGAAGCTCATTTGCAACAGAGTCAGACAGCGGTGAAAACATGAAACAAAAACAGCAAAAGAAGCAGTCAAACGGACGTACCTTTTCAGTGAGATGCTTCACTGTATCTTCCAGACGAAAGATCGTGTCTTTGAGTGCTTTGAATTGGCCGCAAGTTGGACAGGCTGAACGGTAAGTGTAAGTGTGAAGGAAGATGTGACGGAAGAAAAGAAGGAAAGAACAAAATGGAAAGAAAAAACAAAAAATATTATTAAACTGATGTGTGATATGTGTGCCGGCGATGGAGGTGATGGTGACGAGCAGTGAAAAGAGGGGAAGGCAGTCTTTACTTCTGTCAGACTGTTTTTCAAAGTCGCCAGTTTCAAGTAATTTTTGTTTTTACTTTGTAAAAGAAGTGGTATTTTTTACAAACCTGTTTCCAAATCAGGACATTGGGCTCGAAATCCATTGGCGGAGGAGACTATGTGAACGTCGCGCAGATAACCCTAGGTACGACAGGCGGAGATTAGCAGTTGGAGTTAGTATTGCAAGGTAACTTCAAGCAAAAAGGTAAATATTACTAATGGCAGCGTAATCGCAGAAGCACTGAGAGGCTAGCTGACCACTGAGCAAACACACACATCGAGGCTAGCACCGCACTGATTGCCGTTAATTAATCATAGCTTTCTCTCACTAATTACGTGCTCATGATAATATTGATATTGACTCTGATTAGCATCCTAACAAGCTCATCAAATGCTCATCCATAGTGCCCGTTTCTCAACGTGCAAATGAGTGACAATTCCGAGCAGCAGCTAGTGAGCGATTGAAGGCACACACACACAGGTGTCACAGCAGCAGCAGCCATGTCAGCAGCAGTGCT